CTTCACTTTGCTCTAACTGCAGTCATTCCTGTTGCTAAAACAGAACACAAAGATTCATGGTCTTTGTAGTCAGGACAGTTGTCTGAGGAAAGCAGCAGAGGTTTAGGGTGGCAGGGGAGTGAGCCAGCCCTACTGTGGCAAAAGGGGAAAATAAGTACTGTGGAAAGGGAGGAGATGGGGGAGGAGGAAGGGAGGAAAAAGGAAAGGGAAGGGGGAAGGGAGAAGGAGGGAAGAGGGGGGAAGGGAGGAGGAGAGGGAAGAAGGGGAAGAGGGAAGGAGAAGGGGGGAGAAGAGGGAAGAGGCAAATGCAGGAAAGGGGAGAGAGAAAAAAAAAAACCAGGACCTCCATAGGACTGTTGGCTCTGGAGGCTGTGCAATGGAGACGAGACTGCAGGAGCTCACACACACCAGCAGGGGACAGCAGGGGGTGGAAGTCCAGAACTGATTGCAGAAGCCTGGAGTACCCCTACAGTTCTTCTCTAAGGTGTTCAGAGAAGTTAATGGCTATTTTGACAAATATTTCAATGGACTCAATCTCACCCTCTATTTTCCACCTGTGTGAGACGAGGTTGCATGAGCCTGCTGCGTCCTGAGTTTGCTTCCTCCTCGGCTCAATTTTCAGTTTTCTCACATTTCTGTGGGCAAACTCATGACTTGGGTCATTTAGTCATTTAACTAACATATGCCTGTGAAGAGTGGAGTTGACAGGTGGAAAGAATTAATCAAGTTAAGATTTAAATAAAGGATGGTCTGTTGCTTATATAGGTACTTGTAATTTAGAGTTGTGTGAGAACCTGGAATGGAGATGAATTCTTCTAAGAAAGGTTTCATTTTTAATTCCTTGCAGCACTGTGCACAGAACCAGGGCCTCGCCCATGAGAGTCACGCACTCTATCCCCAGCTGCATTCCGCCCGCCCAGAGTCTGAATTCTTCCAGCCATGAGTCAGGGCCCTGAACCTAAGCATGCTGCCCTCTGCTGCCACGGGAGGGGAAGAAGTTGGTATGCCGGAACAAAGGAGGAAAGATCTTTGCTTTTCTTTTTTGTGGGCTTTTAAAGCTTGAAAAATGGGTTAAAACTTCCGGGGGGGGGGGGCGCTCCCTCCGGGCATTAAAGATTGCCGTCCTGAGGCTGGAGAGTCTGCTTAAGGGCAATTGCTACTCTTTCAGAGGACATGTGTTTGGCTCCCAGCTCCCACACTGTGGCTCACAACCTTCCATATAACTAATTCCAAGGATCCAATACTCTTTTCTGACCTCCACGGGCACCAGGCATGTACACAGTATGCGCGCGCACACACACACACACACACACACACGGGGGGGGGGCAGACAAAACACTCGCAAAAGTAAAAAGATCTAAAAATCCTTTTCAATTACAAGCCAGTACGTATATCCACATGTAATACAAGTTGTGGACAGCACTTACCCTATTTGCTTGCACACCAAGTATTCATTGTTGCTCTTGTTTGCTTTTCATTTGTGGCCTCAGACACAGGTTTTGAGCTGCAGTCTGAAAGCTTTGGGAGTGAAGCCACCCAGTGGCCATCATCATGTCTTCACTGAAGCTGATGCTGTTATGTTGTCTTGACCCGGCTTGTCTTAGCTTTAACCCACGACAGCCATGAGGTTTGGCCTGAGTGGGGGTGTGTGGACCTGGAAGCTCCCAGCAACCCAAAGGCAATAAAGATCAAACACAGGCATCTTGTCATCTTCAGAGAGCTCTCAATTCCATGTTGTGGAACTAGAGTCATTTCTTTATTAGCCATCTTTTCTGGTGTTTCTTAACCATCCTGCTAATACCATTTCCTTCTTTGTTCCCTCTCTGCTCTGGCCGCTTGCCCCTAACTCCTCACCTTCCATCCTCACAAGTTACTCACACACCTCTAGAACCTAAGCCCAGGTGAGGGCCTATTCAGATGCTTAGGCACATACAGATGCAAATTAGGAGGCATATTACCCTGAGGCCATAGTAAACAATAGTAGCCCTACTGGCATTTAACAATACAATGGTGAACCGGTGCTTTCTGGTGCTGATATTTTCAGCAACTAGAGACTGGGACCCAAAATATTCCATAACAGAAATATTCAGTCCCCCACAGTATGTGAAACATTCTACACAGCTTTGGTTGAGAGGCTGGGTATGGTGGCACACATCTTTAATCCCAGCACTAGGAAGGCAGAGGCAGAGGCAGCACTCTATGAGTTTGAGCCCAGCCTGGTGTACAAAGCAAATATCAGGACAGCCAGGGCTGTTAAACAGAGAAACCCTGTCATGGGAAAAAAAAAAAAAAAGAAAAGAGAAGGAAAGAAAGATTGGTTACTTGAGAAAAATTAACTGGAAGGCTGGCTCTGCAGGTGAAGGCACTTGCCCCCGAGTCTAAGGATTTCGGCATGATCCCCAGGACACACATGGTGGAAGATTCCCGAAAGTCTCCTTTAACTTCCAAACATGCACAATGTCATGTTCTGCCTCATTCACACAAACTTAAAAACAAACAAAACGACAACTAAAAACAGTGCCTGAAAAAATTCTAAATTTCATGCAAGACAAATGGCAATGCCATACTGAACATCAGGCTGTCTGGATGTTAATTCTTCATCAAAATATTATCCTTCCGCCTGCGTGCATTACATTAGCTAATTGCACCTACAAGAACCAAATTACCTGTCATTTCTGCTGTCTAGCACAAAAGTGCACAATTCTACACAAACTCTTACTGATGCACATTTGTGATGCATTTTTGTCTTAATACATCTGAATTATGCCCTCCCCCCACCCAGGGGCATCTCTCAGGGAAGTGTCTGCTGGAATCATAGTGATGTTGGTACAGTTGGTTGGAATGACACTGGCTCCTTGGGAGAGAACTGAGGAGAATATAACTCTAGGAAGGTCCAAGGTAAGTCAGCCTGGGGCTGGAGAGAATGTTCAGTGGCTGAGACTACTGGTTACTTTCCCAGATAACCTGGGTTCCAATTCCCAACACCTACACAATGACCCACAACCATCTTCAGTCTGAGGTGATCTCAGTAACTTCAGTCTGAGGTGATCCAACACTCTCTTCTGGCTTCCAGGGGCACCAGGCACACATATGCTATACAGACATGCATGGAGACAACACTCTCTTTCTTAGTCACTGTTCTATTGGTAACACCATGACCAAGGTAACTATTATAAGACATAAGATGCTTGCCTACAATTTCAGAGGTTTAGTCCATTGTCATCAAGTGTGGAGGCAGGTAGACAGGCACTGGAGTAGTAGCTGAGAGCTACATCATGATCCATAGGCAGAGAGAGACACTTTGGTCTTGGCAGGGCTTTTGAAGCCTCAAAGCCCACCCCCAGTGACACACTTACTCCAACAAGGCCACACCTCCTAATCCTTCTAATCCCTTCAAATAGTCACGCTCTCTAGTAAGCATTCAAATATATGAGCCTATGGAGGGTATTTTTTTTGTAAACACCCCACACCCCTACACATAAAAAAAAAAAAAAAAAAAAAAAAAAAAAACCAGGGCATCTAGCCTAGACTTGGATGTGGGTTTGAATCTAAAACCAGATTCTTCCCTCATTGTTACATAGGCTAGCAATCTCACCTTTCTAAATCATGTAAGCCAAAGGCAACGTGTACTCACCGGCTTTCAACACATCTACTGGATTCCAACACATCTCAAGCAGGTGTTGTGACAACTTAAAAGAGAAATTGGAGGCTGTAATTCAACACTCAGGAGGCAGGGGTAGAAGGTCACAGGTTCCAGGACAACCTCAAGAAAAACAAAAAAAGAGGACTGTCTTGCCTCATAGGCAGCACTTGTATAAGGGAAACTTGTAAAGTCAGACCTCAGCTCCCTCCTAGTATTCTCCATCTAAATAAGGACATTAGGGGCCCAAGCAAAGCTAGAAGCTTCACCTCAACCTTCTATGCCAAAGCTTTACACTAGGCAAAGCTGTCTTTGACACAGTTTCTCTATGTAGCTCTGGCTGCCCTGGAACTCCAGCATGCTAGGATTACAGGCGTGTGCCACCATTACCTGGCTTCTATTGTTGATTTCCATCTTATTTTCCCAATGCCAATGAGCTCTGTAGTAGGATGTCCTTGCAGTTGAACACACTGGTGAGAAGTACCCTGTCCCCCAAACCAGGACCATCACAGGCTAGAACCTCTCAGTGAACAAATAAGAAAGTGTCCTGATTTTTATTTTTTTCTTTACGAGACAGTTTCTCTGTGGTAACAGCCCTAGATGTCTTTGTACTCGTTCTATAGACCAGGCTAGCCTTGAACTCAAGGCATGTGCCACCACTGCCTGGTGTGTGTGTGTCTCCTGATTTCTTACCTCAGCTAAGTTGTAAAATGAGGTCTGGACTATCCACTCCTCTCTTCCAGGTTTCCCCTGGCCCACCCTAAATGGAGAGCTGGTTTTTTCTGGTACTAACCTAGAAAACACATTGTGCATCAGCTATTTTCTCCACAGCTCCAGCTCACCCGGGGTCCTTCGGCAAGGCAGAAAGCTTTGGGTAACCTGGCTTCTGAGAATTCGAAATGCCAGGCTGGACTAGCCTCTATGCAAAAATTCTGTTTGCACAGATGCCATCATGGTGGTTTCTTTTCTTCTCTCTCTCTTTTTTAAAGATTTTATTTATTTATTATGTATACAGTCTTCTGCCTGCTTGCCAGCAGAGGGCACCAGATCTCATTCAGGGTGGTTGTGAGCCACCATGTGGTTGCTGGGAATTGAACTCAGGACCTCTGGAAGAACAGTCATTGCTCTTAACCGCTGAGCCATCGCTCTAGGCCCCCCTCCCCCCGGTCATGGTGGTTTCTGAACTCCAGTTTGTCTTGCTTTCCACTACATGCCCAACCAAATGCATGAAGCCTCAGAAAGGCAGCACAGGAAAATGTCATCTTTTCTATTTTTAGACAGAAATATGGAACCCATGAGAGGCTTCCATAAATATTCAAGGATAAAACAAATGACAAATGACAGGAAAACACACCCCAGATTTAACAGTGGTAAACAGTTTTTATTCAGGCAATGAAACATGGAAAAAATATATTAGTAATTATCATAATAATTCTTTTGTGTGAGTATAACTTTTACAAATATTTACCTGACATATAAAAGGGAAATTACTATGTGTATAAAAATCTATGAGGATGATTATTCCATACAATAGGAGTCAATGCAGTGTGTAACCCCCACCCAGTGAGGGAGTCCTCACACACTTCAGGGCCCCGGGGGACACAGTGGAAGCAGATGTGCAATACACACTTGGCACATTAATACGTACAGCGGGTCTCTACTGGCAAACACAGACTCGCTAACAGCAATACTGGAAAGCTGACTGCTGCCTTGGGGACTTCACAGAATGCCCGAATCCTGTCCCAAGGGTTGCAAAGGATGAAGCTGAGGCTGCAGGTATGACCTAGATGCTGCCCTGTATCTGGATCAGATGTGGTTCCAGAGTTCAAATTTATATGTGTCAATTTGAAAATTATTCACAAATATAGTCAGTTGCTTATGGGAAGAGGAAGCACTTTTGTTGAGCATATTCAGATACCACAAAAAGGCATCTTGACAATTGGTACTGAAGACTCCATATAGGGAAGGGTCAGGCCATACCCCAGCCCATGCTTGGCCTCTTCTGAGCAGTTAAAGCATCATACAGACTACATAAGGCCAGCATTGCAGCAGCATCTCCATATATTGGAACTATAGCCAGAATATATGCGTTTACATAAAGCTGAAACCATAGTATAGTTAAGAAACTCATTCCTCAGGAATCTTATTTGTCCAGATCTAACCACATGCTGACAGGCATAGAGGGGGCTGCAGCATCTGGATGGGAACTACCAGAAGTGTAATCTTTAGTCCTGGCAATGCCAAGTGCTTGCCTGTGCTGTGTATTCTGTTTTAGAACAGAACAAACAGAGAGGAAGAAGTGCTGCTTCTGCAATTTGTTTCCTTTTACTATCCAATGGAACCCTGAAGAATTTAGTAGCAAATGCTTGCTTTGTTCCCCCGGTACTGGGGATGAAATCCAGGGACTTGAGCAAGTGTGTCACCAACTGAGCTACATCCCCGGCCCTGGCAAATTGTTTTTTAAAAATAATTGGAATCTGGAGGCCAGTCAAACCCTTTTGAACATTAGTTTCCTTTAAATAACTTCCTTATTAAAACTTTTTAAAAGATGATTTCTTAGACCTTTGGCTTGGTGTCATGGGATTCCCAGACTTTATCTGTTCTTTAGTAAGTAAATAGTATTCTCCTACCCTTGAAAGTCTTCATAATATATACATCTTTAAATTCCTTGCCTGAATCATTTACTCTTTCAATACCTACATTCTCTCTTCCCAAGAGGAAGAAAAACCTGAGAGCGAGGGTCACAGACTTACAGACAGCAGGACGACTGATTCCTAAAATCACCAACTGAAATGGAGATTAAGGAATTTGGTAGGAAGTGAGCTGCAGAAGGTCCGAACCAATTCAGCATGCCCTGAACTTTGTCACAGTTCCCGATGCCTATGAGCAGCAGAGGGGCCCTTTCTAGCCTGAGCTATCTTTGCTGCAAGTGAGGGCTTCAGTCTACTGTGGTCCATCCGGGCTGCTTAAAGAATGAGCATTTTTGTGCACAGGCAGTGCCCAGTCTGCATGGGGAGAAAGGGGGTGCTGGCTGGAGAGAAAGTTTAGTTTGAATTATAATCCTAAAGACAGGGATCTCCCTCCAGAGCAGAGCTCCCACACGCACTGTGTGCTTCTGCACTTCCTAATTTGGTCTGGTTCTGAAGATGCTTGAATCCACACTAGAGCACCAAGCACAGAGCGTGCAGAATTTAGGGAAGTTACCAGTCTCCAAAGAGAGGAATCACATGGTGAACTGGTGTGGGATACTGCCGGGTAAAAGCTGTCTACACTTTGGCAAAGTAGAACTAAAGAAATGGGTCAACAAGACCACCTAGTGTTCCCAAACCACTTTCCATTTCTCTTGGGTTTTAGGTTTTTTGTTCTTTATTTTTACAATGCTGGGGATTGACACCAATGCCTTGTGTATGGTGAATAAGTGCTACTACTGAGTCACCCCCTGCCCCCCAGCTCTTAAGACTCTGAAGACAGGATCACTGTACAGCCCAGTCAGGCCTGAACTTTTGGTCCCCTGCCTCTGCCTCCAGGATGATAGGTGCGTGGCACCATGCCTGGTCCCCCTTTTAACTGCCTCACTAACAAGTATCTGGCCCCCAGCATGTGTTGAAGAAAACCTTATATTTTGACTCTCTAGAGCACTAAGAGCTTTTTGGGGCTCATTTAATTAAAAGAAAAATACTTTACTCTGCCTAGTATATTTTCTTAATTTGCCAGCTGTGCAAGCTACATTTTATCCTTGTTGGAGAGTATCCATACACTAGAAGTTGTGGAAATGGTGATGACTAAGAGGCCACTGGCAAACACCGCTTAAAGGACTTATTTCATGTCCCCCATACGTACAGCAATTGCATTTAGCAGGGCCGGTTTTTCATGGGGTCTCTTCTGCCAGTGAGGCAGGGAAGGACAGCCACCATGCCTCTTCTATGCTTTGTAACATAGAGAACAGGATACTTTAAAAATATACAGCTCAAAAGATGATGAGGCCAGAGATGTAGATCCACCGTGAAGGACCTGCCTAGCATGTCCAAGATGCTGGGTTTGAGTCCCAGTACTACCCTCCCCCCCCAAAAACAAAACTATAAATTTATGATGGAGCCCACTCTAAGCCTTTCATACTGAAAAGAAGTCAATACAAAACACACACATGGATACCACCATAATACTGTTGCAGAAACATCTGCAGTGTTTCTCAAAAATGCAAAATTAACTTCCCTGTGGAAGAGCGCTAAGCTGGTGCTGGTCATGTCCCCTGAAGACACTTGAACCTGACAGTAGTATGTCTACAGCTACAACTTTCATATTAAGCCACTGTGACTAAATTCAGTGTCCAAATGATTGTCAAGCCATTTCTCCAACCCACGAATAACTTCTGTTTGTGTTTTTGTACAAAGTCTTAAGACAGTAGGCCTCAAAATGCAGCCTAACCTAAGCACCAATTATAATAAATGCATATTGACAAAATGTGATTTCTAGCTTGAAAAGACATTACTCACTGCCTGGAGCTAAAGCTTGCACCACATGGTGACACACCACTAAAGGAACGCTGTTTCTAAGATCTACAGAGTTTCTCTATGAGGCACAATTCATTTCTGGACTTGGGTCATGCAATATTTTTACAAGGAGGAAAACATGTGTATTGAATAGTGCATATTTACCATGACATCTCAGGGTAGAAAGTTAAGGCAAAAAAAAAAATGCATTAAAACTTGAATGAATTTGGTTTTGCCTATCAAATGGGAATGAACTCATTGGCATCAATGTTGGCAATTTCTATTTGGAGGTTAATGTCCCCCAGTTTAGTTCACAGAATTTCATCTTGTCACTGTGGACCTTTTTTCTTTTTTCTCCCTGCACTGCCCTCCCCAGTACTCAAGCAGATATGAGGGATGAGTCACATGACTTTTTACCGGCTGTTTTGTTTAAAAGTCCACCTCAAGTATGAAAACATTTGTGGTTGTTTTTAAGTCTCTGAAGTGTGCCATGCTTGTAAACACAGAAAACCACATCCTTCACCCTCTAACTGGTCCTTAGGCAGCCCGTGTCTTTTAACAAGATCAGCTGACCCTTTTCCAAGTCCCCCTTGGGTGTATTTCAAATAGATAATAACAGCTGATTTTGTTTTTGAAGCTAACTGCCCCCAGGTGGACACATCCGTCAAATGCCAGCTCTGAGGGAGGCCCACGCTGCTGCTCATGGAGATGGAAGAGGCTACTTTCAGTATGAGCACAAAGGGCCATGTTGGGACCGGGGTGTCCAAATACAGGGACAACAAACAGCACAGCCAAGTCTTCCTTGGACATAAAACCTGCATCCCTCATCTTCCTATCCCTAATCTCCCCACCCACCCTGACTCAAGTTTTGGTTTGGGTGTTTGATTTCTGAGAAAAGGTCTACTTTGCCTAGTGCTGTGTTGTCCTTAAACTCCGGGTCTGAGTGATTTTCCTGCCCTAGCCTCCCAATAGCTAAGATATCACCCTGCTTCCACTCACCCCTTTTCTGAAAGGTGATCTCATGTAGCCCAGGCTGGCTATGCAGTCAAGGATGACCTTGAACTTCTGATCCTCCTGCCTCCACTTCTGGAGTGTTGAGATTACAGGTATGCCCTACAATATTCAGTTCTTGTAGCTCTGGGGATCAAGCCCAGAGCTTTGTGTATAGGAAGCACTCTAGCAAAGTCTGAAGCTGGCTTTTTGACCTGGGGTTCTGTTTCCAAAGAAGATCTACATTGATTTACATAACTATGCTCCTCCCTAGAAATTCTCATCTGAATATGCCAGGCAGGGTGGGGGGTGGGGCAGCATGTACGGACGTATGTGCATGAGTAAAAGTAACTCTGTAAATAAAAGGGAACTCCTAAGAGTCTCATCCATAAACTGTTGGTAGCAATAGGCCAAACTCTCTCCTTCGATAAAACTGCTGATAGACATTTAAAAGATTAACCAGGTCGTAAAAATAGCAAATATGTGCTGGGAAGATGATCCTACATAGTTGCCACAAAATTAGAAATTTCACAAACTTGGGAAAAGTAAAGTTAACAGCAAGATGAACTGAAGATGGAGAAGCACACACCGGACCCAGCAGCCCAGCCTGTCTAATGGAAATGACAGCCTGGATGGATGGACGGACACGCAGGGCTTGGCTGCTGCATCACTCCTCCCCACCGGCCAGGCTCCAGCTGCGGCAGTGAAGCGGACAGGCAACAGCAGGCATGTGCTTTTTTTAAAAGTTATTTTTCTCTGCAAAGGGGGGATTATTTCTGGATAAGGCAAGATATCTGTGGTCAGGACACAAGCAGCCAGACTCAGACCTGCATAGCTCACGGGAGGAACCTCAGTCGGTCTTTCCCAGCTTTGCGATCAGCTCGTCACAGATTTTTGTCAGTTCTTCAATTTCTTGATTCTGAAAGATAGAGGATATGATTTTGCCGGCCACTTCGTGTTCTGAGAGAAAAGCCAGTGGCTAGACTATCCCTAGACATCCTAGTGACTCTCCGCTTCCCTGCACCACAGTCTTAGGAGGTAGAAGGCCCAAGGCCTTCCTCCCACCCATCAAAATGTGCTCACAGTACAGCACTAAATTGAGCTGAGGGCGAGGGGAGTCATCAGCCAAGCCCACCCCTAAGCCTTAGCCCACTTGCTAAAACACAAGGACATGTATTTCACTTCTTCTACCAACAGCTTCAGGGACAACGGGGATTCCAGAGTCTGAGTGAGTCAGGGTCAGCAGTCACGGGCTGTAAGCCAAAGGGTGTCACCGCATGAATGCACGTGTAGTGACAACAGCACCTTAAACAGTGGAGAAAGAGAAAGGCTGAAACCCACCGAGCAGGGAGAAATACTATTGGTGGTGCGGAGACTGATCTTTAAGGGGCTGAGGCAGCTGCCCTTCCAACTCACCCAGGTGTATATGGGACTCCAAGGGGGCAGGTGTGACAAACACTCCGAGGAAGTGATATGTAGAATGGAAAAGCATCCTGAGATGCGGGGTTAGGATCAGGCATGTACCACCAAGCCCAGTTAGGCAGGGGCGAGAGAGGAAGGAGTGAGAAGATGCAGGCATGAGAGACAAGTGTATGTGAGGGGCAGGCGTGAAAGAGAGAGGCAGGTGTGAGAGAGGGTGGTATGGGAGAGGCAGGCATCAGACTGGAACCCTCAGCACCTGCCTCCATAAAGCACTCCAACTCAGCTCCGCCAAGAGACCTACACCTTCTCATGCTGTCTTCCAAATGAGATCGCCTTAGTTACCTCAAAACACCTTGTCTTTCTGCTTCACTGGCATGTCCAATGGCAAGCAGCCAGTCTTGAGCCTGGTGACATTATCTCTACGGCAGTTTCTCAGCATCCATCATGTTGGGCTGAAATCTGATTTGGGCTATCCTGTCTGTTATAGGATGCTTGGCAGCATCTCTGGCCTCTATCCACTTTGGGGCTAGTAGCATCTCCCAATGCAACAGCCAAATCAGTCTCCAGACATGGCCTAGTGTCCCTGGAGGGCACATCTGCTCTGAAAACTGGTGGAAAGATGCTTCATGTACTGTACAAAAAGAGAGGGGGTGAAAGGCAGCCTTGTGACCCTAAGTGTCCAAGCCCCTGCACTCCAGTTAAAACACAACTTTCCCTGCTTGAGCCCTGCCTGTGGCTGATGGCTCCCTTCAGCCTTGGCTAATAATGTGACGTGTCCCCTGAATGGATTCATAAGGGAGCTGGCCTGGCATGTCTTGTAAAAAGGGAAAGGCCACTTTCCTCCAGGTCCATGACAAGCTGAGTACACCAAGGACTGACATGAGCCACAGAGGAGCCACTCCATGACAGCGTGCGTACCTTCTGCTGAAGGGCCCTTTCCAGGGACTCCACCTTCATCTGCTCCTTCCGGAGTCCAGCATGGAGAGCAGCACTCTCGGCCTTTGCCTTTGAGCGAACCTGAGCAATCTCTTCGTTGGCTCTGTTTTGGGTTTGTTTGTGGAAGAAATAAGGACATGGTTAGCCAGCAGACAGACTCAGGGCACTGACTACTGACTTCTACAAAACCCAGAGTCTTAGTCAAGAACTGAGAGGAAAAACAAGAAACAATGACTCAGAAAATGCAATTTATACAAAACTGCTAAGCACATTTCCATGGCACAACTTGACAGCAGAATCAAACTCAAGGACTGCAATATCCTTCAAATGTGATGATAAATTAGCTATGATTTATTAAAGCTTGCCTGAGGGTTCAGAAAGCAAAGCTAGCCACAAGCCATAGAGGTCAGGCAATGGTGATACATACCTTTAATCCCAGCAGCCATACTAGCTAGCTATGGAGCCAGGCAGTGGTGGCACACACCTTTAATGCCAGGACTCAAGAGACAAGCAGATGGATCTCTGTTAGTTCAAGGCCACCCTGGGCTACACGAAATTGATGCAGTACTACAGAGAAACAGCTCATACAAAGGTGATCTCAGCACTTGGGATCATGGAGTCTTTGATCCCAGGATCTGAGAGGTATAAAAAAGGGTCCCATGTGAAGATTTATTCTCCAGCCATGCTGAGAAGAGGACAGTTCTTTCAGCCTGAGGTAGAGGTAACAGCTAGTGGCTGGCTGCTTTGCTTTTCTGATCTTCAGCTTGAAGCTTGAACCCCAATATCTGCCTCTGGGTTTTTATTTTTCATAACATTCAAAAGTTGTATTTCATGAGAAAATGACATTATTTATTTTCTTTATAACAATCCTAACTTTTAAAGGATCTAGTACAATCAATGGTGGTCTGGATTACTCTACACATGATCATATAATATTGAAGTCATTCAGTAAATGTCCTCTTCCATTTAAATGGTGTATAAAGGCAACTCTACATTCAAGCATTCATGTCATTCTAACTTTTCTATTAGACTGTGGGACTAAAAATTTCCTTGCTGACAGACTCTCATATGTGGTATTTCCAGGTTTTCTTTTCCATTGTCAATACTGTTGCCCTAAACACAGAGTACAGATACTGAATACAGATACCTCCGGGGTGTCTTTATCAATGAGATACAAGAGAAGACATCATGTCACTTAATAAACATTCAGTTAATTGATAAAAGATGAAAACTAAAACCTCACCAGCAACAAAAGACATACAAATTAAAACAATAAGCTTTTTGTGTGGGGCATTGAAGCCAGAATCTCATGCATGCTAAGTGGGTATTCTATCACTGAGTCATTCATGGTTGAACAGTACAGTTTATGGTTTTGTCCTAAGAATGCAAAGACAGGATCATATGTCATGGGAAAGATGGGGCATGGCGTGGGAATGAGGAAAACAAATATATGTGCCTTTTGACACAGCAATTCCATCTTTAGCTAATTTCCCAGAAATACTCTGCTAATGTAGGTGTTTTCAATAGGGAGAGTGTGAACCAACTCAAATGTTCATCAGTAAAGAATGTTATGGCACTGGAGAGTTGGCTCAGTGGTTAAGAGCCTTGGCTGCTCTGGCAGAGAAACCCAGGTTTCATTCCTAGCACCTACATGGTGACTCACAATCAGAAGTCACTTCAGTTCTAAGGGACCCAACACTCACTTCTGGTCTCCATAGGCACCAGGCACACAAGTGATGCACACACATACATGGAGGCAAAACATACATACTCATAATATAAACATAACTGAGACATTTTAAAAAAGATTCTACCACTTAATCAAGGAATTAGACTGAGATATGAGTTCTGACTTGGAAAATGGCTCTATTGTGCTAGTAAGTTAAAAAAGGAAATTTGTAGGCTATTTTGATATAAATCTCAAAGCAACAATGACAAAAGGGCACCAAACCATATGGGGTAGTTTCTAAAATCACAAAGACAACACAAGGACATGCAACAAATCCTTAGTGAAAGGCCATAAAGGAGTGAGTGGGAAGGAGAGAAACTCGAATGCTTACAGATGGGACTGTAGATCCCAAAACACACACACTATACTGCACTGCTTTGTAATTAAAAAACATGTATGGGAGCTGACCATGGCAGCTCATGCCTCTTAGTCCCAGTGGAGGCAGGTGGATCTCTTTGAGATTGAGACCAGCTATTGTCTATAGAACGAGTTCTGGGACAGTCAGTCAAGGATACACAGTGAAATTACATTTTTAAAAAGAGGAGGGAAGGCCTTACCCTTTCCTGGGGGCAATTCTGAAATGTGTTATTGGACTTCAGGACTGAGGGGGAAAAATAGAAGGAAGCCATAAAAACACTAGAAGAGAAACCTGGAAGAATATGCTCTCTAAAATGGGGAAGACTTACTCTTACCACAGTCCAAGATTTTTTTTTTTCCTGAGTAGGGCATGGTGGAATATGCCATGAAGTTTAGAACTTGGGAGGCTGAGGCAACTTCAAGGTAAAACTGAACTATACAGGAAGACCCTGACACATTTCTGCACATCAGAACACATTACAAGGCTGCATGATAGAACTCTCTGTTCTGCATGTGCCAAGTCTGGGTTCAATCCCAGCACCTAAAACAAACACAAAAAGGAAACCCTGGCCCCCCTCCCCCATAAACAGGGCCAGGGCCAGGGCCAGGGCCAGGGCCAGCACATACACACACACACACACATACACACACACACACAAATAGTAAGCTGGGGAACAGACTACAATTACAGTGACAGCTAGTGCCCCTAGTATATGACACACATTAAGTTACAACGGAAAGGGCAAAGAACAGTCATAATAAAGTGTTTAAATGGATAACTGTTGAAATACATTTAAGTTTACCAAGACAAATAAAACTATTCTGAATATGTATAATGCTATGAATGTAGTAAATGCTATGTTGCTTGCCAAACCCCACAAAAAGCTACCACTATTACATTTGAAGCTAACCTAAAAGTGGTGCTGTTGGCAGGGAAAACAGACACCCCCATATGCCGTGGAGGGGATAAGTTGACATACTTCTAATGAGGTCAATTGGACAGTGTGCATGATTATTATAACCCCATGTATTTGTTTGCTGGTCCTCAACTCCTCCTCTTTTACCCTGAAGGCACAAAAGGGCAGTCAGTTCACAGCTTCTCTCTACAGCACTTCTGCACCAGGAAGAGTTTAATACCCACAAAGTCTGGCAGGAGGGGCTGCCTAAATGGAGACCTTCCGACTATGAAATGCCAGGGAGAAGGTCCTTGTGGGCGTGGAAAGATAAACCATGGGGGTTAGCATGTATGTCTAAGGTAAACCACAGAATACCAACACTGAGCTAAAGGTTAAGAGGTAATAAACAGGGGATGCTGTGTGTGTACATATACACCTTTTTATACTCTTAAATGTTTTAACCATGTAGAGAAATAAAATATCACACACACACACACACACACACACACACACAGAGAGAGAGAGAGAGAGAGAGAGAGAGAGAGAGAGAGAGAGAGAGAGAGAGAGAGAGAGAGGCATGTATGTATCCTGAAGTTGCAAGCAAGGATGCAGATAGCAAAAGGTGCAAGTTACTTTGTAGATAAAAAAGCAAACAAGAATGCAGATAGCAAATAAGTATGTTACTTTGTAGACAAAATAGTATCTGCCTCCACCTGCAACAGTAAACAAGTGCAGAGCACATTTACAAGCTCTTACCTGTCCAGCTTTTCCTCTGCATGAATCTTCAGGGCCTGGTATCGCTGCTCTTCTTGCTTAACTCTAGCTAAGTAATCCTGAGCACATTTTTTCAAGGCTTCTTCATTCTATTTCAAAACAAACATGTATGTCTCTTTGTTTCTCCTACACAGTAAGAGTTGGGTTTTTTTGTTCGTTTGTTTTAAGGGTAAGCCTGCTTAATTGAGATGTGTTTAATTCATAGACCATGGCAATGTCAACAGGCTTGTGCCACCCCCAACTAAAGAAAACCTGTAGAGTTACTCCATGTCCTAATTTGCATTGCTAGACAGGGCTTCAACTTCCTACTATAGCTTCTTGCTCAAGCCCTATATTAGATAATTGGCCAGTGCCATATTATTTATTTATTTATTTATTTATTTGTATTTGGTTTTTTAAGACAGGTCTCACTCTGCAGCCCAGCCTGGCTTAGGATTTGCAATCCTTCTGCCTCACCTTGAATGTTAGGATTACAAGCCTGAACCTTCAGTCATAAAGCACTTCATGTATAAAATGTCCTGTGTTAGACCTACCAAGAAAAGAATTCCATGATGTGTACCTTTGACAGTACACAACTGAATGATCAATCCCACTCATTTCTCCTAAAGTACACAGCTTGGACTTTGTTCAGTGAACTATAATCTCTTCTACTGCCTCAGTCCCACATACAAGGCTGCCCACCGCTGACAGGAGTGGCTGCCTGATGGCAAGAAACTACACCACCACCCAGGAGAGAAAGGCGGAAGGACACCCTACCTTCTTGAACCCTTCTAGCACGCCTTTCAGGTTTTCGTATCTCCTGAAGAGATCAGAAAGGGACCTTTCCACAGAGTTGAGGTCAGCCAAGGCCTGCTCCTTCTCCATCGTCAGCTGCTGGAAACTCTTCTGAGAGGTCATGCTTGTCCTCTGTTCGTCTTCTGAGAACCACAAGTCAAAGGGGACAAAGTGAAGGCCAACTCTGGGTGAGGCAAACAACAAACGTTCTTGGGAAGGGAATGTGGCATAGGTGTCCCCACTCTCAAGAACTCATATTCTAGTGGGAAGATATATACAGTGACAAGTGATGCCTGAGGTGGCGACAGAGCTGGTGGTCACAGAGTAGTTAGCCTTTCAGAGGAGAGACTGGAGCAGGTAACCAGAAGGGACTGGGGATGGGAGATGCACAGGGCAGACAGGCAAGGCCAAGGCTAGGCTGGGAAGGCAGTTGGTGGTGTGGACAGTGGTGAAACCTTTTAATTCTTAAATGATAGAAGGTCAGAATAGATTCATGTCAGAGTCAAGCCTCAGAATGACAACTAAATGAGGCTGTAAGTTCAATACAGACAATTGTCACTGTTACTCTATACGCTCTCTGTGCAGGTCTGATGGAAGGAATCAGAACTTGCAGTGAGGTAACCCATTCCTTCAGACAAAGGACTCATCAAGTGCACAGGCACATACCTGTCATGCCAGTACTGGGATTCTGAGGTAGAAACACTGAGTTCAAAGCCAGCGTGGGCTATACAGTGAGTGAATTCAAGACTGCCCTAGGGTGTGTCTCTGAAGGGCATTATCTTGCCCCTACCGCCTTCTTGCTTCCCACCAACACAATGTTCTGTCGGGTCACAAGAGGCTGGGAAAGGTGGGCTGGGAGATGAACAGAGGAAGGCTGGGTAATGAGTACCAGAATGCAAGTTCTAGCATTCTATATTAAAGCAGGATGACTTACACCTACAAGAATTTGGTATATAAATTTATAAAGAATTAGACAGTACATAGGAATTTGAATGTTTCCCAATAAATGATAAATGTATTTTCTTTTTTTTTTTAACATTTATTTATTTACTACATATACAGTGTTCTGCCTACGTGCCAGAAGAGGGCACCAGATTGAATTGTAGATGTTTGTGAGCCACCATGTGGTTGCTGGGAATTGAACTCAGGACCTCTGGAAGAGCAACAGTGCTATTAACCTCTGAGCCATCTCTCCAGCCCTGTCTCTCTATGTAGCCCTGGCTGGCCTGGAACTTGCTATGTAGACCAGACTGGGCATGAACTCGAAGAGAACTGCCTGCCTCTGCCTTCTGCGTGTGGGAAGTGCTATGCATCTGGCCTGAAATAACAAATGTTTGAGGAAATGGAAATGCCAGCTTTAATAGCTTCATCACTGGGCACTGCATTCGTGTGCAAAGTACCACAGTTTCCCACAGTATATGCAATTATGACATGTCACTTTTAAAAAGCCAGAGAGGGTCTGGAGAGATGACTGAGCAGTTAAGAGCACACATTGCTTCTGTGGCATGCCCAGGTTCGGTTCCTAGTACCCACATTAGGCAGCCCACAACCACCTCTAACTGCAGTTCCAAATGATCTGAAATCCTCTTGAGCTACACATACTCATGCAGGTGCGCATGCACACACACACACACATAAACATAATCAATTCATCTTTAACAATAAAGAAACAAAGGCTTCACAAAGCTAACCCTCTCCTCCAGGAATGATGTAATGATCAAGTGGGAAGGCCCAAGGGGAATGGGCCCTTCCAGGCACAGAATCTGCCATAGCCTTGGCTCTGACTCCACAAAAACTATAAAAACAGGTGTTTGTCTGTTGTTATGACAGGCTCGGATAGGTTCTATGGCCCAGGCTCAAAAAACATACCTAAACAAACAAACAAACAAAAAACCTTTCTCCTTACCAATCATTTGAGCAATGGTATTTTCATATTCGGTCACAATTTTCCTAAAAAGAAAAAAAAAAGGTAATCTATTATAATCATAGTAAAAAAAAAAAAAACTTGTTTTGTTATCAGAAGAAAGCAATGGAAATCATAGAAATACTGTCTGGAATAAATTCATGAATACATAATAACATATATAAACCACATCTTTGCTCTGCCTCCCTTCTTTGGTTTTTCTTATATATATAAGGTTTACTAAAGGTCTGAAAGGTTAAATGCTCTCAGCAGAAGATAAAAAGGAAGTAAAGAAATGGGAAGAAACAGGCTTATGTCTCCACTGCCTGGAACAGAGCCCTAGTCTCTCATAAGCTAAGTACTCGCTCTACTGCTGGGCTGCATTCTGAACTCCAAAAGCTTTTGACAACTTGTGTTTCATAAGCTGTCCTGGTCAGTTTTTACTATCAACTTGATACAACCAGAGTCACGTGGCAAGAGATAGCCTCACCTGAAGAACTGTCTTGATCACACTGGCCCATGCCCTCCTCAGGGATTCTCTCGATTGACGTGTGAGGACCCAGCCATAGACAACACCACACCATCCCTCAGCTGGTGACCTGGTTCTCTAAGAAAGCTAGCTGAGCATCCCACCATGGCTCCTGCCTCAGTTCCGCTCTCACTCCCCCTTGATGAAGGCCATGACCTGAAAGTGTGAGCTAAAACCCTTTGTTCTCCTTAAGTTGCTTTGGGCCATGGTGTTTTTCACAGCAACAGAAAGCAAGCTACAACATAAGCCTTTTAGTAAAAACAACTGTCTTCTCTTTTTCCTATTTAAATATCGTGAGACAATCTTTTTAAATTAAAGGCGTTGTTCAGAGATCCTCCTATGAGACCCACTCTGACTGCAGTCTTTCCTGGCCCATCTACCTTTCTAAGCACTGCTTGCCTCTGATTTGGTTACAAGTTTTATCTTGTGTCCTACTCCACAAATATTTCACTTATTTGGAGATTCTGAAGATCATGCCCGTAAGCTGGCCTCTCACCCAGTGAAGTGTGGTTAGTCTGAACTACACAGGGCTGGGCGGTATTCCCTGTAGCTGCCCCTTACTGGTGTCCACCAAACTGGTCTCTGCATCTGAGGTCCTCTTGTAAGCTCACTAAAGGTGGGGTTGTTCCAAGCCCAGCACTGGGCCTCCAACCAGGAAGTCCTCCAAAACCAAATGATACAGGAGGACAAATTACAGTGGTCATGTTTAAATATCTGGTCAGCACTCCAGTGCTCGCTGGTGAGATTTACACTTTCTCTTCTTTGAGGTTATTTTCAGTAATGTAATGACTCAAATTTCTAGACTGAACAAGAAAAAGAAAAAAAAATTCTTTTGGAGTGGGGGAGGGGCACAAATCTCTGAGATAAAAGTGTAGCTCTGACTGGTCATGAACTTGTTGTGGGACCCAGGCTGGCCTCAAATTCTCTTGACCCAGTCCCTACAGTGCTGGGATTAACAGGAATTTGAAAGCCCTATACCATTACCACCACCATGGCTAAAGACTTTTATTTAAAGCTCATTAATTTTGCTTTTATTAATTTCAATACCTCCATCAGTGAATATATCAGTAATTTTTATTTTATTTTACAAGATTTTATTTATATATTTATTTATTTATTATGTATGCAGTGTTCTGCCTACATGTTTGCCTGCAGGCCAGAAGAAGACACCAGATCTCAATATAGATGGTTGTGAGTCACCATGTAGTTGCTAGGAATTGAACTCAGGACCTCTGGAAGAGCAGCCAATGCTCTTAGCCTCTAAGCCATTTCTCCAGCCCATCAGTAAATTTTATTACTCTTTATTGCAAATAGATTTTGTTTTGTTTTTCGAGACAGGGGTTCTCTGTAACTTTGAAGTCGTCCTAGAACTTGCTCTGTAGACCAGGCTGGCCTTGAACTCACAGAGATCTGCCTGCCTCTGCCTCCCGAGTGCTGGGATTAAAGGCATGCACCACCAACACCTGGCCTTTTTGTTTTTTGGTTTTTCGAGATAGGGTTTCTCTGAATTGCTTTGGAGGTTATCCTGGAACTCGGGGCTCTGTAGACCAGGCTGGCCTTGAACACACAGAGATCCACCTCCCTCTACCTACTGAGTGCCTGGCCATTCTTTCTAAAAGGCAAGAATTATATGAGTTCTAGTTACATGTGGTATTGTAAATAACCCACTAGTCACTACTAACTCTGACTTCTTTCCTTTCTTTTTTGAGATGGCCTTCCTATGTCATCCTGGCTATCCTAGAACTTGATAAGTAAGCTGGGCTGGCCTCAACTCAGAGATCACATACCTCTGCCTCAGTCTCTAGAGTGCTAGGACTAAAGGTATGTGCCGCCATGCCCTGACAGCACTGATATCCTTAATCTCAGATTGCTCAATGTGAGCAAAGCCCTCATGTTGTCAGCCACTGACTTTGAGACAAGAAAACATTGCTGACTAAACCAGCAAAGCACAAAGGCAGCCACGCCCAACCCCAGCGCCAGGCTAACCTCATCTCCAAGACTTCTTCTCGGGTCTCTTCGTATTTTTTCTTCCATTCGTTTGCTTCAATCTCTTTAGTGATTATCTAGATTATAATAAAGCTTTGTTTTACTTCATCAATCTATTGGAAACTGAAAAATAACACATGACCAAGTCTGACGCAAGACATTCAACTAACATTTAGGAATATAGTACATCTCAATGTTGGTATATAATGTTCAGAAACATCTGGGAAAGTACATTCTCACTTAACTACCCAGGGTGCTGCGACACAGCCACCACCAGGGGAGGTAAACAGAGCAGCACCTTCACATTTCAGTGGTACTTGCAACTCCTCTACTTTTTTTTTTTTTTTTTTTTTTTTTTTTTTTTTTTTTTTTGTCCTTTATTTTGAGAGAGAATGCATCCACATCAGCTTTGAATTTGGATCCTCCTGCCTTAGCCACCCGAGTGCCTGGATTAGTGCACTACCACTCTGGGACAGATGCCCATTCCTTTCTGTAGTGATGTCTCAGCACCTCCTAAGAACTGAGTCAGGATAAAGAGGCTCAGGGTGCAGCCCGCAACAGGGCTGCAACAGGCATCCAGAGTCCTCCTGTCACTACACTCCTTGGGTTCCCTCTTCCTCCTAACTGGTACATCTTCTGCTTTGTGCTTATATAAAAGATCTCAAGAATATATAGATGCCCCCCCAACCCCCACTGGAGAGATGGCTCAGTGGTTAGGAGCACCGACTGCTCTTCCAGAGGACCCAGGTTCAATTCCCAGCACCCACATGGCAGCTCACAACTGCCTATAAATCCATCTTGCCATCTTGAGGGATTAGGTGCTCCTTTGTTATACACCTAAAATAAAAGAATCCAGGGGCTACCCTGTGTGCTTCAAATCACCAGACACAGCTTTCCCCCTGAACTATTACATGGTCACTTCAGTGTACGTGAAGTCCCACCAATAGCTCTGTGTATTGGCTCTCTGAAGAGCAGCACCAATACCCAAGTCTACAGGAACCCCTTTATGCAAGCCACACGAGCTACCGTGAACAGGAAGGAAGCTGCAGGCTGAGGTGAGGTGAGCCAGCAAAGACGGGACCTCTGCAGACAGACAGACTTTACCTCCTCTCTGATCAAAGTGAGCACAGCAGTCTTGTCTGCTTCACTGAGGCAGATCCCATCCAGGGGGCTCTCACCCCCACAGGCCACAGACACTGGAGCCTTTTCCGAAGAGGATTCCAGTGGTCCCTGTGGACAGGGGTTGCATTTAACATGGTCAGTCTCTTCCAGCTTATGCCTGAATATTCTTCAACAACTTCCGCAGCACAAAACAGATCAAACCTTTAAAGATGTGCTTGCAGAAACAGCAGCAAAAGATGGTAGCTTTAAACAAGCAATCTAGTTCAGGACTAACTAAAGGAAGAGGTTCTGGTGACTACTGGGTTCGGCTTATGGAGGCACAGATAACCTAAGAAAGCTGTCTTCTTATGAGAAGGAAGAGGGTATTTGTCAAGGGGTCACTCATCAGAGACTCCCAGGTAGAAAAGAACGTCTTAATACCTCATTTTTCTGTTTGTTTGTTTGTTTTTTTCTGGGGATGTGTCCTATGCAAACCATTTTTCAAGAACAGTGAGAACCCTTCCATTCACATATGAATGCTTGTGTGTCTTCATTTAACCGTTTTGGCAACGATGCTAACATGTATTACAGACTGCCTCAGCAGGCAGACATGGCAAATCTCTCTGGCCTTTGACCTTCTCACCAAGGGAATCACCTGGGAATCACCAAGGACTTGAGCTGCAGTGATGACCTCAAGTTCACACCCATATTAACACTTACACAAAGAGGCCTGATACAACATAAAACAATGAGCAGTTCAGCTTTGCAACAAAATCTGCAGCCCCTTTCTGGTTGCCTTTGGGCTCCTGGTGTACCAGGGTAGCTACAGTTCTAAAGAGACATATTTGGTTGGTATTTTGTTGTTCCCAAAGGCTTTTGTTTTGTTTGTTTTATTTTTTCAAGACAGGGTTTCTCTGTGTAGCTTTGGGGCCTATCCTGGCACTCGCTCTGGAGACCAGACTGGCCTTGAACTAATAGAGATCCACCTGCCTCTGCCTCCCGAGTGCTGGGATTAAAGGCTCGTGCCACCAATGCCCAGCTTTTTTTTTTTTTTTTTTTTTTTTTAAGAAGCAATTTCTACCTAGGAAAGTGAAGTTTTTTGTATATGTATGACCTAACAATCAAAATGCCAGCCAAAGTGACCCTGGTAACCATCTCAACCTCCTAAGTATGAGTGAGCACACAAAACTGAGAAGTTCTGACTGGTAATCAGTCTGTTTCCTAGTGTCTTGTTTAAATGAAGACTAAACAGAAAACCCAATGACAACTTCAACTAGTTGCTTTAAAACTTTATGGGCCATTGTGGCCTCCTACTTTCTCCAAATGCTCAAAACACTTGTATCATTTTAGCATACATCTTTATAGACCTTAGCCTTGGGCCCAATTTAGAAATTATCTTTGGCTACAGAAGAGAGAAATTCCAATGCCACCACCAGGCAGTGCAATTCTCCAGAAGAACTTGGGGGAGGGGAGTCCAACCAGAGGACACTTGGGCAACCTCTACCAGGGTTACCCCCAACCCCCCCCCACCTCCTAGTACTAATTCTCTTGTGTAATTTCATTTTAGATGAAGGCTGCTCTCAGTGATAGTCCAGATATGGCAAAGGCCACTGTGGTAGTTTGAATGTATTGGCCCGTATAAGCTCATAGGGACTAGCACTACTAGGTGTGACCTTGATGGAGTGGGCATAGTCTTATTGGAAGAAGTATGTCAAGTGGAGATTTTATATATGCTCAAGCCACACCCAGTGAGACAGTGTACTTTTTGCTGCCTGCAAGATGTAGGACTCTCAGCTACTTCTCCAGCACCATGTCTCCCTACATGCCACCATGTCCCGCCATAACGATAATGGACTGAACTTCTGAAACTGTAAGGGAGCCAGCAGTTAAATGGCATCCTTTATAAGAGTTGCCATGAGGGGCTGGAGAGATGGCTCAGAGGTTAAGAGCACTGGCTGCTCTTCCAGAGGTTCTGAGTTCAATTCCCAGCAACCACATGGGGGCTCACAACCATCTATAATGAGATCTGGTGCTCTCTTCTGGGGTGCAGGCTGAATACTGTATACATAATAAACATAATAAACAAATAAATCTTTAAAAAAAAAAGGAGTTGCCATGGTGACAAGTTGGCCACAGAGTCTCTGGCTTCTACACATTGGGGTGCTGTGTGGAAAGACCCATGATTTGAAGAATTGATGTGTCTGCCAATAACCAGGTAAGGTTGGAAGCAAATCCACCTTCAGGCAAGACCAAAGATCAACTCTAGTCAATAGCTTAGTCAAGAAAGGCCCTGAATCAGGGGACCTGGCAAACCCCCAAAGGTTCCTAACACACAGGAACAATGAAGTAATAAATGTTTCTTATTTTAGCCTCTAAATTTTAGACTCTAGAACTGTGAGCCCCAAATAAACCTTTACTTCTACAAGTTGCCTTGTGTTTTATCACAGTGATGATAAAGTAATTAATATACTTGCTGTATAATCTAGGACGATCTTGAATGTGGGGCCCATCTTCCTACCTTAGCCTCCCAAGTACCAGGATTTTAATAAGGTGTGAGTTACCATCCCAGCTTTCACTTTAATAGCACACTTAACTCAACATACCCAAATTACTATCTTAGTAGGAGACAATATAAGAAATCACTGAGACATTTACTAATACTCCCTTTTTGTGTACTTAGTCTTCAAAGGCTGCCTGTATTTACATTACATAAGACATCTCAATTCAGACTAACAGTTCAAGTTGTCCAAAGTCACACAGGGCTAGTGATTATTGTAAAGAACAATACACACAAACAGTAAGATCTTTGGATAAAGAAACTGTATATAATATGTATGCAAATATGAATGTGAGTATGTGTGCCATGGAGTGCATACAGAGGTCAAAGGACAACTCTGTGGAGTCTATCCTCTCCTTCCGCCTTTATGTGGGTGACCAGGCTTGGGCAGCCAGCACTTTCTCTGCTGAGCCAACTAGCCAGCCAGACATTTCTTCTTCCCCACATCACCTAATACTAACTAGAGTTTACTTAATCAAATTAGTGTGGGCTCTAAACAAACCCTCCATGTTTGGGAACTTACATGCCCAGCTGACTCCTCTTTCTCTGTCTTCTGGCATGTCTCCTTCTCTGTGCCTGAAATAGAGAGAGTCATTTTTATACTTACCCCAAGGAATGGGTTCCTTTGTTCCTGATGAAGGCTAGCCAAATCCAGTGCAGGCTTAGAACAAAAGGGCACAGAATTTCAAGATTTCTAAGAGGTACACCACTGGCATTCTCTTTCCTGAACTCTGGTGTTAAATGTTCACAAGAAGACAGGCTTGCAGACTTAGCCACAGCTGTCAAACCTCAGGCCAAAGGAACAGTAGGTCTGCCCCCTTGTGTCCACTGGAAATTTAGCAGAATTGTACTAAACAACCAATTTCAGAAAGTGGAAACGAACACGGAATCCTCCTACTTTACTCCTAAATCTGCACAGATTAAAATTTCTGGCTCAGGAGGACACACTCAGTATAACTCATGTATCAGATAAAATAGGCTTAAATTCAAGCCCGAAAAGCAAGTTCATTATTGTCTAAGTGGCTTCCTCAGGACTATTTTTCTGTTATCAAGTGACACGGTAGGGAGATGGGGATGGACATGACTATATCCCTGAAGGAAATTTAAAATTTAGAAAAGCTAAATTAGAAAATTTAAATTAGAAAATTAGAAAAGCTAAAATCTCCTTGTTGCAATATTTAAATACTATTTCACTCAATACTTACTTAAAACACTAATGTGAGCATCACAACAGCTCTTCTAATCTGTTGCACTTTTAAACCACAATCTAATGTAAACCTCTCATCTCCACAAGCTGACCATCTCAGGCATCAGATACAGCACAGAAATGACCACAAGGGGACGCAGGAGGGTGGGGAGGTCGGAGTAACTTAACTTGTTCAGTTCAGACTTTCTACCTGCTCTCCGGGGTTAGTGGCAGATCATGACTTTTCTTTTTTCATCTATTTATTTTACATCCCAGCCACAGCCTCTCCAATGAGAGATCAACTCAGCACCTTGGAAGCTGCAGGAGTGATCCTCTTGTTCTCTGATGTAGCCTGCGGAAGAATTCTCTCATCTCCCCCTGAAAACGGGTCCCAAGGGGCTCATTTGGGAAAGGTTTACCTAGTGCCCAAAGGAGAAGCATGTTCTCATCTTCGAAGACACAAAGAACATGAGCAGGCATGCCTTACATTGGGTTCTCTGCTCTCCACCACTAGATTGTTCTATTTCTATAAACGGACTGCTGTATGACTGTTCACAAAAACAATTTTCAGTTGGAGCTGGAGAGATGGCTCAGTGTATGAGAACACTGTTCTCCTAGGACCCCTAGTTCAGATCCTAGCACCTATGTCATGAGGCTCACAATGTCCTATAACTCCAGCTCCAGGGGGACCCGATGCTCCACAGGTACCAGTATTCACACACATATATCTATGAAAATAAATCTTCAAGGAAAAAAAAACATTTTTAAGTTGGGTGTGGTGGCCTGAATGAAAATGGCTCCCCATATATTTGAGTGCTTGGTCCCCAGCTGGTAGAACTGTTATTTGAGAAGGATTAGGAGGTTTGGCCTTCTCGGTGCCCCACCCCCACCCCACCTTGCGGTTACTGTGTCAGCACGTAAGCTCGATGCTTCTCCAGTGCCAGGTCTGCCTGTTGCCATACCCACTGCCATGATGCCGTGCACTCCAACCCTCTGGAATCATGAGCCCCAAATTAAATGTCCTCTGGCATGGTGTTTGTCACAACAATAGGAAAGTAACTAAGACAGAAACTGCTGTGACAGGTCTGATCATTGGGGGGGTCGGAGGAATGTAGAAGGCACCAGGACTTTCAACTAGGAGGCGGTTGAACACTGTAAAGGGGCTTAAATAGGCCGTTCTAGTAGGAGCTTGGAAAACAACAGTGCTGGAAGCAATGTGATCTGCGGTGGCCCAGCTCAAGAGGATACAGAGGGGAGCAGCTGGCCTAGACCCATTCTTGTGATATTTATGCAAAGAACATGGCCATTTTGCCTTTGTTATATATATATATAAAAAAAAAAACTGGGTGAGGCTAAACTAGGTGTTTTGGATTAATTTCACTGCCAGAGAAAATTTCAAGACAGCCTAATATTGATTATGACATGTGGTTATTAGCAACTCCTCTTACAATGAAAAAAGAGAAATTGAGGCAAAAAAGAAATATAAAATGTACAGCTGGAGAGAAAGAAAGAAAGCACCAGGAAATTTAATGCTGGAACCATGGTTTGTGCTGAAAGAGAGAGGAAAAACAGAATAAAGGGAATGGTAATCTCAAGGTGAGACCCAGCCAGCCAATCCTGCAATCTGGGAAAAGTAAAAGCCTAAGGAATTGTGTTCCTGAAAGGTACTGACAAATAAAGCTTATGCTGATGTAATTCAAAGATGGGGCAGGCGCCATTCTAAGCAAGCAGCAGAATTTGGCATCAACAGGCACATGGTCCTGGCTTTGGAATCATGAAGGATACAGGAGTAAAGGGGTTGTGTTCCGAGATTAAGGAAAGCCATGAGATCAGCTTGTGTGGCAGCAGAGACCCTGCACCCAGGATCTGAGAGGCCACTGTGTGAAGCTGTGAAAGTGAAGCCTGGGTTGTGTTGGAGACCTCAAGATGATGGAGATGCCTCGGGCCTGGGACACCTGCCAAGGAGCACTGCACACAGGGAGTGGACCAGTTTAAGAGAAGAGAGTTGCGAGAGAAAGCCAGCAAGCCCCGCTGGCATCAGACAGACTGACAAGATTTCAAGTTCGCCATCTCCTCACTTTCCTACCCCTCCCTTTCACAATGATACTGCATATTCTGTGCATCATATACTGGAAGTATGTCATTTGCTTGGGTTACAATTAAGAGACGGCCTTGAATCTCAGAAATAGACTCTGGACTTTTAAACAGTCTTGAGACTGGAAGAGTACAGGGATTTTTGAAGTGGAAGTGGTTACCATAGGCTCATACGGTGAAGATGTGGTTCCCAACTGGTGGAACTGTTTGTGTGGGATGGATTAGGGGGTGTGGTCTTGTTGGAGGAGGTGTGTCACTGGGAATGGGCCTTGAGGCTTCAAAAGTCCAGCCATTCCTACTTACTCCCCTTCTCTCCTTTGTGGTTGTCATCTCAACATGTAAGCTCTCAGCCACTGCTGGGCCATGTCTGCCTGCTGCCTGCTTCCATGCTGGTCATGGACTCTAACCCTTTGGAACCCTGAGCCCCAAAATTAAATGCTTTCTTTTACAAGTTGCCTTGGTTGTGGTGTGTTGTCATTGCAACAGAAAAGTACCTAAGATGCTGGACATGGTGGCATAAGCCTGTCATACCAGCATTTGGGAAGCCAGGTTGGAGGACTGCTACACAGTTGAGGCCAGTCTGATCTATGTAAGTGTTCTAGGCCAGCCAGGGCTATAGAGCTAGACCCTGTCTCAAAAAAAAAAAAAAAACAACACCAAAACCATAAATTAGTTTCAGCATGCAAAAAAAAAGAAAAAAGAAAAAGAAAAGAAAAGAAAAAAATCAAGATCAAACCCTACACTTTTCTGCTTATATGGCCTTCACTATGTTCTTGTACGATGTAAAACTTACTTTAATGTGGGTATGATGACATATACCTGTAATTCCAACATTCAAATGATAGATACTGAAATTAAGGCCTGCCTGACTCAACAAAAGCAAGGGTTGGGGATATAGCTCAGTGGTAGAGGGTCCGCCTGGCACTCACAGAGCCCTGGGCTCAATTCCCAGCACTGCACAGACAGAAACAATCCTTCTCTGAAGGAGGGTGGAAAGCAAACTCTAGGAGAAGAACAAGCAATAGGGAGAGCACTAAAGACAGATCGCCACAGGCAAGCACCGCAACCTCCATGTTATATTGTCTGGAAGCTAAACAGCGAGCATGACAACCCCAAAATACCACATGTAGGACATATTTACAGGCCACTCTAAGGTTAACTGTACCGATGCAAAATGATAGAGAACTTCAATCTGCATCTCCTGGGCACCCTCCACACTTATGTCCGCGCCTAGGACTGTGCTAAGTACGTCTGTGTCTCCTCCAGTGAAGAACAAAGAAGATCTGCACCCTAACTGGCCCTCAGGTGACTATCATGGGCCTTCCAGCACGCCTGTGCTTCTGTACTGAGGATGAAAATGCAAGGCTTATGGTAGAGGCGGGGACATCGGAACATTCACATACTCGGGGGCCCTCCTCCCCTCTCCTGCTCACCTTTCACCTCTGCCCCAGCTGATTTCTGACTGCAGGATGTGGACGCCAGTTTCTCCTCATCAGTAGCGTGGCCGTCCCTATTAGAAATGTCTGAGATCTGTGAGATCACGGCTCCTTCGTCCTGGGAAATGCAACAGAGAAGACACTGTCCTTCAGAAGGGCAGTCGTGGTGACTAGTGACATTTCTAGAATGGAGCATGCAGCTGTAACTACATTCAGGTTTGCCACAGGTCCAGCTACAAAACTAGGAGAAAGCTTTAGTCTTGCAAACATGAAATGCTGTTTCTAGAACTTCACTTCTGTGGTTTGGGTCTGAAATTTTAAAAGGTGTGCTTTTCTAACCTAAATATGAAAGTTTAAGCACTTCAAGAGCTCTGAGGTAAGAGTTTCAGTTTTTCTTGCATACATTCCCCCTACTTAGTTCAAGTACACTTACTTCATTGTTCAGTAACTGGATTGATTTTTATTAATAACTCCATATAGTCATATATGTATATCATAAATCACTAGGATGAAATAAGAACCAGAATCAATATAATTTCTGGATCCCATCTTTATAATTATAACCAGTAGGAAGCATCCAAAGGCATGACAAGGTCTATTGCTGACTATTAACAAGATGAAGAGGACGAAGTTTTGTTTTAGTCTCTCAACTCTCTGAACCCTTTTCCAGGTTCAATGCACAGTCTCTCTTCAGACTTATTTTCAGGTCCTCCACTCTGCTGAAGGCAACAAATTGGAAAGCCACCTGAACCTTAATAAAAATAAAAACCTATCCAGTTACAAGTCAACACCCTTTATAGAACCGATACTAAAACTTCACAGCACCGGTGACCTAGAGAGCTGGGCACTACGGTGAAACAATAGAATATGCCACCCCCACCCACCCCCACCCCCTGCCCAGTGAAGGTCATTGTGAGACTGTCTTCTTCTTTTTAATGATTTACTTTTATTTCAAGTGCATTGGTGTTTTGCTTGCATGTATGTCTGTATGAGGGTGTCAGATTCCCTGAACTGGAGTTACAGACAGTTGTGAACTGCCATGTGAGTGCTGGGAATTGAACCTGGGTCCTCTGGAAGAGCAAGCAGCCTGTGCTCCTTTACCACTGAGCCAACTCCCTAAGCCTTGAGCTGTCTTTCCCTTCAGGCCTTCCTCGATGAGTTTGGGATACTGGTTTCTTTAGGTCTGAGTCCTCAGACACCCACGAGACAAAAACCCATTCTGGAGACCAGCACAGACTTACCTGAGGACATGTATCCAAATCGAGAGACTGAGTTTCGTATTTCTTCACCTTGCAGCCACTCCTAGAAATGAGAGGAACAGACAAGCCAGTTTGGAATCCCAATGACAACGCTGCAGGTCTGAGATGGAGCAGAGCACAGGGTGTAGCACAGAAGCCAAAGCGCATAGCACCACACGATCACACACTTGCATGGCAGAGCTGTGGAGACGCTGCAGACCCTAGAGACCCACGGCCGGGCTCATTCTCCAGCAAGACCAACTCACTCCGATCTATAGATTGCCAGACACCACAACTCTGAACCCCGCATGTTTAATTACACACCACAAAAAACCTTTCCGAGACTCTGAGTACCTCTAAGAACAGCCTTAGCAGCTAGAGACATTGGTTATGATCTTTGCTTGCTTGGTTTTGGCGTTCATCAGAAAAATTACCACGCTGGACCAGATTCTTTGAAAAGTCTTTATTACACTAAAAGCCACAACAATCTCCAAAGACAGTGCCAGCCTAGGCTTGGGGAGCTTACAGAAAGGAACTATGGCCAAGAGAAAGTATTGAAGAAAACAGTAAACAAATTGTTCCCATTCTTAGGTAGTAAAGTGGGAAAAGACCATGCAGTTTACAGTGCCCAGAACTGAGGAAAACACGGCCATCTTATTTTTAGTCTAGTGCATAATTTGTGATCACAGGACTATTATAGATTCTCCTATCTTTTAATCAACTTAAAATATTCAGGGGAAAAAAAAACCCCACAGCATTCTGACCAACAAAATAAAAAAAAGTACTTCCAATTTGTTTTCTTTCATGGTAAAAGAGAAAACACAGACAAGAATACAAATTACCAAAGTGTACAAGGTCACTAATTCATGGTCTTCTTCACCTACTGTTCTAAGTGTCACCAAACTTAAGTTTACTTGGTAAAACTTATTACCTGCTCTAAGACAGCAGCCTCATCCCACCAAAACAAAACAAAACCTAATTATTCCCAACAGTGAGTGCATAGCAGGCCATCAAATCAATCACTGCTGCATGATTGGGGCCAAGCCAGCTTTTGGTTCAAAGTGCCACATGATACATGCTAAGTAAGCCAGGAGCACACGCTTTTTGCACCCAAGGTGGAAAAAGCAGTATCCATTCTTTTAGGTACAGACGATTGCAAGGCTAAGCTGACTAAGATGTGGCAAGGGAAATGCAAAAAATTATCAGAAGGTCCAAATAATGACAAGGTCAAACAGAAGCTAACATGCAGGGGGAAAGACAGTCGGGGCAGAGGTGGAAAAGGAGACTGCCAAGAGTCCCAGGGACAGACAGAACCTACAGCAGAGGTACTTACAACAGAAAACAGAGAAATTTCACTTGCTCAGTAGTCCTGATGCATCAACAGAATTAGAGACGGGAAAGAGACATACAGATGGAAAAGAATCATGTGAAAACTAGAACATTTATCTTTTTTCTGGCAGATGTCAAAGTTGCACAGTTCTTGGTATCATGTGAGATACAAATTTAAAACATCATGCCCAAGCCTGGCATGGTACTGCATGCCTTTAAGTCTAGTACTCAGCAGGTCGATCTCTGGGAGTTCAAGGCCAACCTGACTTACAAAGCCAGCTCCCAGCCAGTCAGGGTTACACAGTGCGACCTCTTAAAAAAAAATGTCAAAAACAAAATATTAGAATAGAAAAAGTCATATGTGTGAATATTAGCCCTGGTGAATAAATGGTAACAAGACCTCAGCTTTAACAAAATAGAGAGAGATACAAACACTGAGAAATGTTTTGTGTTTAGATTAATAGATGAAAAGTAAGCCCCTCCCTGCATATAAGTGTACATGCACATAGAAACAACGCTTCACTACTTAGCACGCTCCCTCTAACTGTGCAAGACCAGGTCAAAGGCAATGCCTGAAACAAAAGAAAAAAAAAAAAAAAAAAAAAGTTGGAAAAACACCTGGCTGACTCCACCATCAGTGTCACTAAGAAACTTAAAGTGAGCCAAGCACAGTGCAATATGTCTGTTGGCAATTCACACTTAGCAGGCTAAGTAAGGCAGCAGGATCAAAAGTTAGAGGCTAGCCTGAATGTTACAAAGTGAGACTCTGCTTCAAAGTGTAGAACGACTCCACATCATTTATATTATTTGCTCTGCAAAATCCTAACCATATTACATTGTCTCTATTTAATTACATCTTTTCGAACGTTCCCAAAAACTGTTCACTGTGTATGTTAACCCCACGATGCTTCAGTCTTTTCAAAGTGAAGGGACTCTGCTCTCCAAGTCTAACACAGCACAAGAGCAAGCACTCTTTTCTTACAAGAAAAGAATGTTGACTGGGTACAAGTCTTTTCATTAAGTCTGTGTGATCTATTAAAGCAATACATTTATTCCACAAAAAAAAAAAAAAAGGAACAGTAGAAAAGACCACCAGACCACCAGGTGAAGATGGCAGGGCTCAAAAGTGGGCACTTCCTGGTTCTAAACACAAGAGACAGAGTTAGTGTCTCCTTCCTGGGCCCAGATCTCATCTTAGGGAAATGCATTCACTTCACTCTTCCACCTGCAGCTGGAAAGAAGGCACTGAAGGACCAACGCTTTGTCAGGCATCAACACACCCAGGATGAACCCCAAGTGCTGTCCAGACATAGCTACCTAACCACAAAGGTCAAGAGAGGTCTGCACAAACAATCGGTAATAGTTTTTAAAGCCACCTGATTGCACCTATGTAATCTGAAAGCAGACTTAGAACCACTCCTGTCAATTTATTCCCCTTAAACATACCACCAATACTGGGGAGAACTGATCGCTGTGTGGCTTAACTTTCTTGGTCTTGAAATTAGCATTTCTACTCTTTAACCCTCGGGATATTTTTCTTTCCAATGTAGTTCACAATCAGGTGTTTTTAAGACATAGTAATGTTGAAGAGTATTTCCTGGGACTGGAGAGATGGCTTAGCACTGGCTGCTTTTCCAGAGGACGCTTGTTCAATTCCCAGCACCCACATGGCAGTTCACAGCTGTCTGTAAGTCCAGCTCTAGAGGACCTGATGCCCTCATCTGCCTTCTGAAAGTACCAGGCATGAAAGTTGTAATATAGACATACATACATATATTCAGGCAAAATACCCAAATTTCCCTAGCCGAACTAACAACAACCACACACACACTTCCTTTCAGCATTTTATCCTCCAAGTCACTGGCCCCTGCATCTAATTTTTCACAAGGTGTCATAGGGTTTTAAATGGTTATACTATCTTTTATTCAACTCGAGTTTCCTGATCATGTAATCTTGTATCAAAATTAAAAACCTGATGTGGAATATGGCCTGAGAGATTACTCTGAGAACTCACAAACTAAATAAAGGTTCATTCCTGTCTCCCAGGAGAAAGTAGGAGGTAGAAGGAACATACAACAAATTTACCCAAATTCAACTGGTTATTTAGAACACTCTCATCACAGAAAGTCACTAATAAACTACAAACACACAAGGAAGCAAGAATTCTCATCATTACCACCAATAAAAATCACAACTTTCCGTTCTGTAAGATTGTTCTGCGTCATTTCTGACATTGCTGACCTTAGACAGATAATTTTGGAATGTAAAGATGGTGGCTAACACTGACACTTGAATTCTATGTACAATGTAATTCCTGGAAACCTCAAATATTTACTTGATTTCTTTTAAACAATTTTTTAAAAAAGTATCCAGGATGTGTGTGTGTTGGGGGGGTGACCTAAACAAGTCAAGGACCCAGAGATAAGGCAGAAATCAACAGGAAAACTTCTGATGCTTCCAAACACACAGAAGAGTTAGGCAAAGGGGCAAAGACTACAGAGTAAAGTGTCCCCACTGTACCACAAACATTTATGAGTGCAATTCACAGAAACCAGAAGTAGCTGCCAAACTCCCAAAGAACACACCAGAGCACCACGCCCAGCACCCACTGTCACTCACGTTATTAAACGCGACTTTGCCTTCTTGGGTGACTCTAAGATTTCATTAACATGATTACCAGTGGTGGAACAAAAGCTGCTGCTTGTCAGAGCTGTGGTTGGCTTAAAGGGGTCCATAGACTCATCGAAGTTATCTGGGTCAAAGTGGTAGGAGCCTTTGGAGGAGAGGGGTGGGGAGCTCTGCAGAATGGGGCAGTTCCCAGAGGAATTAAAGTTGGGGTGATCCCATCTACTAGGATCTAGCTTAGGAGATGTTTGGGAGAGTGAGGCATCTTGGACTCTTGGGTCTGCAGGCTGTTCGACATCTACTGGCTGACTGATGCCATCTTTCCGTATGTTCGGCATCAGTTTGTTAGTAGGTTTCCTTGGAAGGTCATTCTTGGCCTCGACATGTTCCCCATCTTCTGTAAAATCATACTCAAGTTTGACAGACGAGTTCCTGGACTCCTCCTGCAGCTCACACCCTGAGCCACTAGTGCCATTACTGAGAGCTTCTGCAGCTTCTTTCAGGTTAAGGGAAGATTTCTGGGCCCTGGTACCTCTCAGCACGCTAGGATATGTGTTCTTAGCCACTTCATCAGGAACTGACAGGGAGGAAGCCTTAGGGAAAGGCAAACCTTCCATGATCATTTCAGTTTCAGAGGCATCGCCTCCAGCTGTCTTCTTCCTCAGGGAGACAGGCTTGGGTTTTCTTAGCTTGCTTCTGCTGGCCACAGGCTCTCTGGTCTTCAGACCAGCCTCTGTAAAGGCCTCAAATGTAACCGCCATGCCTCCTTCTGTCACTGGCTTGTCCTGAGTAGCTTCTGATGCAGCAGAGGGCAAAGCCTTGCCTGAGTGTGCAGGTTCACAGCCATGAGCTGCTTTTGTTCCAAGAGCAGCTGGGTCATCTGTAGAACTCCTGGTTTCTATTGAAAATGGCCTCACTACTAAGATCTTACTAACATCATGTTGGGTTTCTCCTCTGACATCCTTGACTGAATGAGAATCAGTAGTCGCCTGTGATGCTTCATTTTCTGAAAATCTAGAACATGTATCAGATGAACATTTTTCAATCACTTCTGCTACAAACTGTTCATCAGCTTCTTGTGATTCTAGAAAAAAAAAGGAAGAAAACTCTATTAAAGAATTCTATCACTGGTAAAGAGTCTGCACTGTGTGACTTTATCAACAAGCAGCAAGTCCTTCCTTCCCTCTACCCTTAGCTCAGCAGTTTTAACTTTAAAAAGACTATAACAAGCTCTACACACTAGCCAGGCGGTGGTGGTACATGCCTTTAATACCAGCACCGGAGAGGCAGACACAGGTGATCTCTGAGTTCTAGGTCAGCCTGGTCTACAGAGTGAGTTCCAGGACAGGTTCCAAAGCTACAGAGAAACCCAGTCTCAAAAACAAACAAACAAACAAAAAGCTCTACACCCTAAGATGAATTTTACTTGGCTAAGAAACTGCTATGCTAGTAACACAGTACTGAGCAAATGTAAATCAGAGTTCTACTGTACGTGTACTGTGTGATGCTAAGGTCCTGTAGGTTCACGCTCTCTGGAGAACCTAACACACAGCAGCTTAGCTGGAAGGCTGCTGAGAAGAGCCAAGCTGCTTCCCAGGCCAGAATGCTTCAGCTAGCAAAACTGAATCTAGTTAGTCCTAGTTTTCCCTGTTCCACAGGCTAAAACTGAATGAACTACTACAAAAATTAATAAATAAATCCTACCATGGCCAGATCATGGTCTACTTTTCTATAGACACAATAACCAGAAAAAGCCTGTAAAAAGGGGAAACTGCAAAAGCAAATATAGATGAGGCTTCAAAAGTAGGGAGTAGCAGTGTGAGCCTATAACCCAAGTACTCAGGAGGCAGAGGCCAGGGGTTATGAGTTGGAGGCCAGCCTGGGCTGCACAGAGAGATTCTGTCTCAAAAAACAGATACAGAGATGGCTGTAAAAACAAATATCCCTTATTTGACTAAAACATAAACCACTAAGAAATGTCATCTTTTTTCTTTATAACATTTATCTCTAGGCTAGGGAGATAATCCCCTCAATCACTTGTAAACAAAATAATTTCTCAATTTCGGTTTTACAAGAAAATATGCAAATGGAGAATTTCAAACACAAATTTCGACCTCAAACAACAATTTATCAACAGAAACTAAGTGTGCTGTCTTTCCTCTCACTCGAAGATTTCCTGTTGCTACTTCCTGATCCTAAACCAGGACCCGGAAGCAGATCACCACCATCTCACAGCACTCACACATCTTGTGTGCACCCACTGTGTGTGTTGCTCTGGGCTGGCCCAGAACTCATTCCATAGCCTAGGCCAGCTCCACCTGGCACTGGTCCTTCCGCCTTAGCCTCCCCGGCGCCAGGATCACAGGTGCACACCACCATGCCCTCCCCTGCTTCACTTTCTCTGACTGTAACCACACGGGGACTTATCAATGGCACGCCAACAATGCTTCAGATACTCTGCTGTCCAGGGATGTGTGGAAAGGAGTTTACTGTACTGCTATCCTATAGCCTTAAACTTCTCTATAAACTTAATCATAAAAAAACCCTCACAAATAAAAGCCATCACACCTCCAAATTAACTAGGCCCTACGTCTATATACCTCAATGAACTAATACAGTTAGCCCATCGTTTAGAATTGGAAGATGCGGAGCTTCACATTACATTTTATATTTCCACTATCAAATATATTCTTATCCATTTATCCACCGCCAAAAACAAAAACAGAAATCCATGACAACGTTGGAACTAGGAAAACAATTAGCTTTTCATATGAAGAAGAAAAGGAGGAGGCAGAGGAAGAAGTGTGCTATGCACGAACTTCTCAGGAGAATGTTTTGTGTGTGCTGACTTTTTCACTTGGGTACGCTGTGCCCACATGTTGAGCTACTGTGGATGTGTTATGGATTGTTCAACTGAAGCTGATAAAGGGAAGGGAAAAGGGGAGGGAAAAAAAAAAAAAAAAAAAAAAAGGCCCATCAGACACCTAGGGCTGGGTGGACATGATGCACCCCTGCAATCTCAGCTATCAGGTGGCAGAGGCAGGAGCATCACTGCAAGTTTGAGGGCGGCATGCAGGCAAAATACCAATGAACATAAAGTAAAAAATAAATTCTTTTTTAAAAAGTAGATGAACTGCTCAAATTTTTCAGCATTTCAACTTTATAACACATTTTCCCCTACCCTTCTGGATAGCGTGGCCTTCCACTGAAGCAGCCGGATGAATACTGATTAAATAATTAGCAGAAGAGTGAGGAGAGAAAAGCAGCTGGAAAGACAGGAAAGCTGCTCCCTGCAGAGTCCCTCAAGCCTTGTCAAAGTCTGGCTTTACCTTGAGATATGGTCAGCTCACCCAGCTGCGGTGGGGGAATGTACTGAAATGAACAAAATTGAAATGTACTCTGGGCTTCCATGAAAGACCTGCTAATCAACACAAAGCTATGCAACACCTGGGAGAAACAAGGAGGAGGGACTGGTGAGGGTTCGTGATGGGCGGGCCATGGAGTGAGGTGGGAGGTGAGTTTGGGAAGAGGAGAGAGAGAGAGAGACAGAGACAGAGAGACAGAGACAGAGAGACAGAGAAACACAGAGAGAGAGACTATTAAAGCCAGCAAGTTTTGCCTAAGCAGGCTGCAAATATTTTGCTAATTGAAGCCATGGTCATTTGATTATCCTTTAAAAAAATCTCACTGACTACTATTAAAGCACAAGTGCTTGCCATCCCATACTTTTTATTATTTTTTTATTAGTTCAAATTAGACATAAGCTTGCTTCACAATGTCAATCTCTTCTCCCTCTCCCTCACCCCCCACCCCCACCAGGCTCCCACCTCATCCCCCCTCTGCTCCCCAGGGAGGATAAGGCCCCCTATGGGGGATCCCAAAGTCTGTCATATCATCCTGGGCAGGGCCTAGGCCCTCCCCCATGTGTCCAGGCTGCCAGAGCATCCCTCCATGGCCGTCCCACACTTTTGCCTTGAGCCCTAACATATTTAAATCCAAATTGTTAAAATAGATGTCAATTTTTGTCAATCGGTGGTGGCGGACACCTTTAATCCTAGCACTTGGGAGGCAGAGGCAGGTGGATCTCTGTGAGTTCGAGACCAGCCTGGTCTACAGAGCTAGTTCCAGGACAGCCTCCAAAGCCACAGAGAAACCCTATCTTGAAAAACAAAAAATAAAAATAGATGTCAAGTTTTAAGAGTTTACCTAAAAAGGTTAACTCAATTTAAAACCTAAAGTTTTTTTTATATTTTCCAAGTAGTAATATTATTGATATAATGGTGTTCTCGATAAACAGGAAAATGCCCACCCAAATATCTTAAAAAAAGAATACTGAACTAAGAATGATCTCTAGAATTTATTTTAAAAATACCCAAGCAACAAATAAGAAAGTAAAAAGGGTGCTGGAGAACATGAAGCAAACCCTCGGCACGTTTAACATGGATGATGAGAACACAGACCTCTAACGTGTGTTTTAGAGGTGACTGCTAATTTTTGATGATTTATTTCTTTTTACTTTATGTGTATTGGTGTTATGACTGCATGTATTTCTGGGTGAGGGTGTTGTGGAGTTACAGACAGCTGTGAGCTGCCAATGTGGGTGCCGGGAATTGAACCCAAGTCCTCTAGAAGGGCAGCCAGTGCTCTTAATAGCTGATCCATCTCTCCAGCCCCTGGAAATGGTAATTTTATGAGTTTGGAATGTTAGGACTCTAGTTCATCCACAGAACATTTATAATTCAATCTCCAGCGTGAAGAATGGAAGAAAAGGAAATGGAAAAGAAAATGAAGTGGTTTCTGTTGTTATTTTAGTCATGTAATGTGAATCTGTGTTGTCTGACATTCTCCAATCTCCACTCCCTGTTATAGAACGCTGGGCCCTAACACTCCAGTCCTCCAGGCTCCTGTGAGCTGGGAAAACCTGTGGTTGAGGCCAGAATGCAGACAAGGAAGGAGTCAGGAGCTGAGAGGCCCTTTTCCCTTTAGCCAGTGACTCCCACACACATCAACTTCTGGAGCTCTTTCCAAAGAAGCTCTGGAGCTTCTTTGTTGCCAAAGCTTTCGCTGTCAATTCCTCATCAAAGAGAAGTTGCCTCACTGTAGCTTTTGCTTTTCCCCTACTCTCTTTCCTCAGCCCACAGCTAAAGGTGTGGCACTGCTACACATGGAAAGGGACCAAAGGGCTTGGTGTGAAAGAGCTGCCCCCACATGCTGCTTTTTACTGTCACCCATGTCCAGATCAGCAGTGTCTGTGTTCTCATCATCCATGTTGGTGAGGAACTGAAAGCTTCAAGAATGTTTGGGTATCACAGGAGCAGGGAATGGAAAAAAATCGGTACAGAGTACCCTCACCCAGCTGAAGAAACCCTGTCAAGGAACACCCTCCTCCCTGGTCATCTCTTGGTCACCTCAAGGCATGTGCCAAGTAAATGAACCTGCCCATTCCTTCACCTAGCCACTGTGGACACCACTTTCAACAGTTCATCTCAGCACCAGTAAAAGATCCTGACAAGGAAGTGAGTATTAATTTTCAATTAACCAGTTTGTGAAGCTGTAAAAATATAAAAAACATTATCAGCTAGCCCATGCCTCTAAACCCAGCAGGCTCCGGATCTCAGAGTTCAAGGCCAGCCTGATCTACAATGTTAGCTCCAGGGCACCCAGGGCTACACAGAAAAACCTGTCTTATAAATAAATAAATAAATAAATAAATAAATAAATAATAAAATTACCCTCTCTTTGAAAAGGAGTAATTCACAAAGTTTTATTTGCACCTATACCACCATCAGGCAAGGCTCTGCCCTAGGACAGAAACTTCAAGTCTAACAGCACACCCTTGTCAGGGATGAATAAAATATGTTACCCCAGTTTTAGGCCAGTTTTAGCCAGAGAGCCAGCCTTGTTTCTCCTCTGAAAGCTGTTATATAACAGTTGATCTAACTTACAGGCCTTCCACTCACACAGAAACCCAGCATTCCTTGCAAGGAAGGAGTGCAGGAGGCTCCTTCCCCAGAGCCAGTGTGAACTCAGCAGCCTGGAATGGATCAGGAGATAAATTCAAAGCAAGCCCAGAGGGAATCCAGA